GATTAGCCCAATAGCTCTTATAAGCCCAACGGTCCAGATTAAATTTGGGCTGATCTGACGGTCACGACCTCATTTCGTATTTTAATTTTAATTTTTTTTTTCTATGAATCCAAATAACTTGAAATTTTTGGTGTGTCTTCTTCAAAAATAGGATAATCTAATAAAAATATCAAAAAATAAATTGATCAAAATGCTCCTTAAATGTTTCGAGGGTATTTTGGTCAATTTAGTTTTTTAGAATTATATTTTAAATATTTTTATGAGCTGCGCCTTGATGGGAAGAATGTACGCCTAAAATTTCAAGTTATTTGGATTTGTAGAAAACATATTAAAATTCAAACACGAAATGAAGTCATGACTGCCAAATCGGCCCAGAGAAACCAGAAAAAATCATATAACACTGCAACTTATTCTTTCTTTACTATATAAAACGTGACTTTTTTTATGCATATGTGGCATCTCATAACATTGTCCACATTGGATATAATGGAATACCGGTTATTTTTATTATCGGTGTGGTTTGTACAAGGCTGAGGCCCTAAACAATATAAGTAAAGCGCACCATGAAATAGTGTCGAAAGATGTTGTTTCAGTACCGAAAATCTTTATGATGACCTGATAATTTATTTCCATATCTAATTATAAACATTAAAAACTTGAAAAATGATCTAGGTACTACAATACAAGATGCACTATTTTCAAACGTTGAAGTTTTTTTTTTTTTGTCCATGTATCTTAGAGTTGAGATGATAAAGTTTGAGGGTTTTTGGGCATCAAAACACTTTTTTTTTATGAACTTTTGAGTTGCGCCTTTGTTTGATCGTTTATCGGCATCAAAACACCTTTCTCTTATGAATTTTTGAGTGGATGCGGTTACCATGTGGCCAGCTCACGTATTGTAAAAATGCGGGCTTGGCAATAAATATATTTTTTAAATATAATTTGATCCTAATTTTTAGCGAATATATAATCTTTAACATGGAGATCATGGATATAACAAAATAAAATTAAATGAAAAACTAGAAATAATAGTTATATTAAGAAAACATTTGAACTGTTAATTACAATTGTTTTTAGATTGACCACCTATTTACATTCATCTTTAAAATGAATGCTTTATACCTCTAGACAACATATTGTAGAAATGCAATCCAGCCCGCATGAAACGCCATCAAAAGAGGGGGTGATTCGTTTAGAAGGGGCTGTCATCGCCATGTCCATGTACATAGCTAATCCTCAAGCAAAGGGAAACTAATGTGTAGGATCTCTCTTCACACAACCATCTATTGCACACTACTCTGTAAGATCTCTCTCTACACACTTTCCGTTTAGGTAGATCACTAACATATAAGATGTTTCTCTCAACCGAGTGAGATGGCCCAAATTAATTGTTAAATTTAGTGAAAATTATAGTAATAATTTGTTCCCTCCACATTCTTTTGGGTAATTCGGGGGGAGGGGGGGGCGGGGGAAGACAGGCCACCACCCGTTTTTTTCAATAGTTTAGGGCCAGTTTGGGTGTACTTAAAATTGTAATATTTTTGGATTGCAATCCAAAAATCTTGTGAAATTCATTTGACCCGTTTGGACAACCACCCAAAATTGCAATATTTTTAGATTGAAATAAAAAATCCTGCAGTTTCAAGGCAAAAGTTACAATAAAAAAAATTTCAAGTCCGACTTGAACTTTTTCTGATGAGCTTTCTCTCACCCGTTCATGAATAATAGAAATGCCCAAAAACCCAAACCCCATCTCTCTAAACGCCAGAACTTTCTCTCTCACATCGGCGAGGTTTCATGTTGTGTTTGGGCAATCCGGTCAATCAGGTAAGTCTTTCGATTAGAATAATCAATCAAGTCCACCACTGAATCAGTTCCTGAAAAACAAATCACTACTTATCTCTCCAATTCAAAGAGGTGGTCATATCCAACCTTTTCGGTGCATGATTGCCATTGAAGAATTGAGTTTCAGGGTCATAGCCTACAGTGAAAACGCCATTGAGATGCTTGATTTAATGCCTCAATGAGTTCCAAGCATGGACTAGACTGAAATTCTCAAGGGGGTCACTGATGTTAGAACCCTTTTCACCCCTTTGAGTGCTTTTTCGTTGGGAAAGGCAGCTAGGGCTCAAGAAATCACTCTTCTGAACCATGTTTGGATTCTCTGTAAGAATTTTGGAAAACACTGTTATGCAATTCTCCATAGGATTGATGTGGGTATTGTTATAGACTTAGAGCCTGCTCGATCAGAGGACCCTACTCTCTCTATAGCAGGGCCTATTCAGTCTCAGAAGCTAGCAATTAGGGCAATTTCGAGGCTCCAATCTCTTCCTGCTGATGATATTGACTTATTGTGTGATACGGTGGTTGAGCATGTTAGAGAATTTACTAGTTATGATAGAGTCATGGTGTATAAATTTCATGAGGATGAGCATGATGAGTTTGTTGCAGAGATCAGGCGGTCTGATCTTGAGCCCTATCTTGGCTTTCATTACCCAGCTACTAATATACCTCAAGCCTTGAGTATGAGGAGAGAGCATATGTTATTGTGAGAGGAGTGCAAATATGCCTCCCGCCCACCCTTGCTTCAGCACCCTGTCCCGCCGCGAAACTCATTTAATATGTTCACATCATCCAAACAGTCCAACAAACTAATTAAAATAGATAATAATATTTATAAGAGTAATGAAGCTATGAGACCCTCCCACACCTATGTGTAGGACCCCAAAGGATCACCATTAAATTTGACATAGACATCTAGAAAAGTTATTACATGGGTGTGAGATATGACTTTTCTAGAGATCGGTGCCAAATTTAATGGCGATCCTTTGGGATCCTACACACATGGATGTGAGAGGGTCTCACAATGTCATTTCTCTTTTTATAAATAAGGTGGTTGAAACTAATTAGGGAGTTATATTTTGAATGTGCTAATTGGGGTCTCACAAGGTCATTCTCTTTTTATAAATAAGGTGGTTGAAACTAATTAGGGAGTTATATTTCGAATGTGCTAATTGGGGGTGTCTGCAGCAGGAATGGATACCACGATGTGGTAAACTGGGTGTGGGATGTTACCACCACAAACTCAGCCTCTTTCCTAAAAAATCCTTTTAAAAGAAGTACATGATCCAGTGGGAGAATGCAATTTTCAAATTCTAAAAATCCGAATTTTAATAGCAAAGTAAAATTTGGATTTTAAAATATGATCAGGATGCTAAAATTCAATTTTTGATTTTGAAAATTCAAAAATTCAATTTCCAAAATAAATTTTAGATGTTCAAATGCCAAAATTATTGGGATGCTAAAATGCAATTTTGGAATTTAAACATTTAAAAAAATTTTAAATAAATTTTAGATTTTCAAAATCCAAAAGTTATGGGATGCTTTCTTTGGGTAAATATAGTTGTTAGGGCATTAATTTTTTTAAATTTTTTTTTGGATTTTTAAAATCCAAAATTTTAATTTTGAAATAAATGTATTTTTTTCAAAATAAAAAATTGCTGGGACACTTTTTTTCAAAATATGAAATTGTTAGGATGCTAAATGCAATTTTTGGATTTTAAAAATTCAAAAAATCAATTTTCAAATAAATTTTACATTTCAAAATATGAAATTGTTGGGAGATTTGTTTTTTTGGTAAAAATAATTGTTGGCACACTTGTTTTTTGCAATTTTTTATTTTTAAAATTCAAAAATATGATTTTCAAGCAAATTTAGGATTTTCAAAATCTATAATTGTCATCACAATGTTTTTTGTGCCTTTTATGATACTATAGGAAAGAGAGATCATACAATCAAACCTTTCTTGACAGATTGAAACTCAAAATTTGCATGCCATCATAGAAAGCAAGCAAAACACAACAACACCAGAGCGGCTTACAATTGAACTAATCAATATTTATTTTTGTCATATTGAACTCTCTCTGTTTATATCTAAATGTCTAAGTTTCTAGATTGTTGTGGATAAATTTTGGTATAAGTACTAGGGAAAATTACAAAACCGTCCCAGAATATACTATTCACTCAATCTGCCCCCTTCTGATTTTTCTCTTTCATCTTTTTCTCTTCAAGAAATTATCTTCGCAAAAACCCCCCAACCCAAAAAAAAGAGTAAAAATCCAAAATACCCCTTTTGTCTTCATACCCCTTCTCTACGCACTTGAAGCTTTTCCCACGTACTCCGGCAGTATAGAAACACGCTCAGCCACACAAGCTTTTGGAGCTAGAGCGCTTCGGCAGTTAGATCAGCCCCTCCGGCAGTAAGCCACTTCAATCAGGCGGTTTAGTACGTCGCTCACACATCGCTCCATCAGTGTGGCAGCATGCTCCGGCATTGTTTGATCTTGCTCAGGCAGTGGCTATTGCGATCCGACAGTCATTTCAAGGCGGTCCGGCATTGTTGTTCTTCGCTCCAGCAATAGGTAACTTGGGACCGCCAATTGAATTTTTATTGTACGGTAAGGGCATTTCTGTCCCAAGAACTACAACTTTTTGCTTTGGGGGGGTTTCTTGCGAGGAAAGCTTGTTGAGGGGAAAAAAGTGTGAGAAAAATTTAGGTGGGGTAAGTTGAGTAAATAGTGTATTTTTGGGAGGTTTTTGTAATTTTCCTGTAGTAATATAAATGTTTATGGAATATCTAGATATCTCATTTTAGGGGCATGACATTTGAATTTTATATGCTAATTGCCCTTTATTTCTTAATATCAACATCATAACATCTCATTTTGGGAAGCATAATATTTGATTTTTTCGATGGTTTCAGATTTTTTTTTATTACACTTTTTTATATGCCTTGTGCTTCTATGAAACACATGCAGAGCACGTACATCTCGCTACTACAAGTAAAGCACCCCATAAAATCAAATAGAAAAGATGTTCCAAAGTTAGAAACACCTTCTAATTGATATCATGACATCAAAATGTAGGGAAATATAAAAAAAAAAGAGCGATGAAATTCCTATAAAGGCCTATACTTTTTGAAAACAAAATAAAGCATCACTTTAAATCCTCTCCCATAAAATAAAGCATATTGGGAATTGGAAATCTTTATAATGGCTTCTAAAATCAATTTCCAAAGCCAACTATAAATTTTAAAACTTAAAAAATAGTGTAAATCTTATCAAATAGTACAATTCTTATAGATACGTAAATACTTAATATAAATATAAGATAGATGGAGCAGTTTGTAAAGAGCCGAGGCTCTAAACAATCAAATTAGAGCCCAACTTCAAATAGTATCAACAAATATGATTTTAGTATAGGAAAATTTTGCAATAGCATTAAATTATATTTTCACCCTTAGTTATAAAATTTAAAGCTTTAAAAAAAATGTACATCGAGCTGATCTAGAAAAACTTGAAAATTGATAGTCCAAAAATATGTTACAAGATACACTATTTCTAAAATTTGAAATCCACTTTTTCTTTATTTCCAAGCATCTTGATGTCAAGATGATCAATTTGATGATATTTGGGCATCAAAACAACCTCTTCCATTGAAAGTTTGGAAGTAGGATCTAATTTAATTTTTAGAGCCTCGGCTCTATATAAACTTTTCCCATGTAATACAAAATTCACTTTCTACGACTTTAATTTTTTTGTTTTTTTCGCACCCATAACAGGCAAGGTGGAGACGCTCGATTTGAATGTTTTCGCCTCGAGTACCGCATGCTCTCGCAGATCATTTTATGCGCGTTCTTCCTTTAACTTTTGCCTCAAGTACCGCATGCTCCCGCGGGATCATTTTATATGTGTTCTTCTTTTAACCGTCTCATAGGAAGTCTCTCTCTCGTCGCGTTTCAGTGTCTACGTCTACGATTCCCACGGTTGTAAGAGGTAATACTCTCTCTCTCTCTCTGCCCACCTGTTTGTGCTTCTCCTAAATTTATTATTGCCTTATTGAATTCTTAGAGTTCTCTTCAGTACCTAATTGGTTTGAAATCCCTCTTTTCCTTTTCCTTTCTTCCTCTTAAAGTCTGGTAGATCACTTTTTGATTTGATCATCGCGCAATATCTAGGTAGGGCATTGATAGCCTTTCAATATCTTATTTTTAATTTTATTAGGTCACCTTATTGTCTATTCTTAAACAGATCATTTTTGTTATGTTCTTTTGGAAGTCACATATTTCAAATCGTGTTTGCAAGTGTTTTCACTGAAATTTGGTGTATTTTGTATATCATATTTTCTATAGAATAATTATCCTTTATGAATTGTTCGCTTATTTGCCATCTTCATAGCTTTTCTCTCTCATATTTAGATCATATTTTTCACTGATCATACTAATCAAATTGGCATAGTCCGCAACTCTGCATTAAATATTACATTTGTAAATTGTAACTTCTTTTTTTTTTCTCTCCAAAATTTGGGCTTTTGTGGTTCTGCTCTTATCATTCTGAGATGGGTTTTGAAGCTTGATAGGTAAAATTTTTCCATAAATCTGAAAATTGGAATAATTCTTCCTGGATGGGGTTTAAAGACATTGCCCATTAATGAGGATATGATTGGTGTATTTTGTACTCGATCTAATATGGAAATTTCTATATTTTCCTGGAAAAAAAAAGAATCTGGGTTTTGTTGAATGTTCTTGGCTTATAAAGTCTAGGTATTTTTGCATATAGTGTGAGACACTGTATGTTGGTCCTTATGAAGTTGCATTGGATATTCTTTTATATTTGTTTTGAATTTTGATGACCATGTCTAAGTACTCTTTATAAATGTTTAACAGAAAATGTCTTATTACTTAGGGATTGATCCTGCATTTTCCTGGGCAAATAGTAGACGACATAAAAAATGGCGAACAAAATTCCGATTCCTACTAAAAGCTCAGCACTTATTGCCATGATTGCTGATGAGGTACACAGTTTTGGTCGTTTTGGCAATTTGCTTAATCTGTAGTGATCTTCACATACCGGTCAAATTTTATATATAAAATACATAGTTGTTGTGATCATCTGAACGAGCAATCAGTTTACCTTCTATCCATTCAAATTTCATTTCTTTTTTTTTCTCTTTTAACTGAGACGTTCAATATGCATATTACGTGCCTGTGTTGTTGTCTAGCATGTTCTCCTTTGTTCTTTTTGGGGTTCCTATGTATCATTCACTCTGCCAAACTCGATACGCAATGGAATGAGAATTTCATGTCATCTATGCATTCCATGTCTTAGCCGCACTCTTTCTCTGGACACTCCACTTTGTGAGTTCATTGTTTTACCCTTTCCCTATCAAAATGAAGTACTCATACATGTCCATATTCCTATTTTAAGGTGCTACATCCATGTAATGAAATTCGTTTTCAACATGACAAATGAATTATAGAAGACGTGAACCGTCCAATAAAGAAATCATCTACAGATTGTCCCCATTTTACTCTCAATGTCATGGTAAGACTACTTCAAGGTCTCAATTCATGTTTATAGTGAATGGATTTTGACCACTTGGCAATAGTTATCTAGACATGCCATATCATGTAATTCTGTCTTGGGATGGAAACTTCTATTGCTTTTGGTGACTATTAGTTTCCTGACTTGCTTGATCCCTTGAACACGTATGCTGTTTACATGACTGTCTGTGGTTTGTAGCATGAAATATTTTAATTGACATGTTCTTGTAACCAAAGATTCGACCTTTCTTTGTTAGACCTAGGTTCTTCATTGTCACCATGTCTTTGCCGATTAGGGTTCTTGATTTTTTTTTTGTTCGTCACCCCCCCTCCCCCCCCCCTTGGAAAAAAAAGGGTTATATTACTTAACGAGATAGTTAAGAAAAAAAACTCACAAGGAATGAGTTGTTATGGCATTTACATGACTGTCAATGGTTTGTAGCATGAAATTTTTTAATTGACATGTTCTTGTAACCAAAGATTGGGCCTTTCTTTGTTAGACCTAGGTTCTTTATAGTCACCATGTCTTTGCCGATTAGGGTTCTTGATTTTTTTTTTTTCGCCCCCCTCCCCCCCCTCCTTCCCGGGAAAAAAACGGGTGACAATATATTACTTAACGAGATAGTTAAGAAAAGAAACTCACAAGGAATGAGTTGTTTTGGCGGCCACATCTTGTTTATTATCATTTTGCTCAATGTTTCCAAGTTGGACTTCTCCACCTGAACAAAGGAACATTTAACCTTTTAACTTTTTGAATTCTTTACATACTTGGTAGTTGTGACCTTCCCAATAGATTGGCTCTCTCGTCTTGGAACCTGGGTTTTCTAAACAAGATATGAGACGTCGGAGGACACGAGAGTCACATTTTGGTCCTGACCAACAACCACTTTTCTAATTTAAGTGTTGTAATTTTAATGTCCTTCATATGCTTTTGTTTTCATGATAAACTATCTTGTCATCAATTCTAAGCATCTGAGATTGACATGCTATATATTTCAGAACTACTGTCCAAGACCTCTCTGGTAGCGTATAATAAAAACTTAGAGTTGATGTTAAACTTTCCTGCTATCGCAGCCCTTGGAAAGGATAATTGCGACTTCTTGATGTTATATTAAAATCTATTATGATTTGTTTGTGTGTGTATAAGTGTGATGTGGCATGATCTGTATCTAGGATCTCAATACTGAACATAAGGATTATCGGTATCATAATAATGTAAGATTTTCCTTTAGTCTCTATATCGGTATCTATTTGCAGGATGTTCTTATACATACCTTATTGTAGAGTTGGGTTCAGTTCCTTTAATAGTCTCTATTTTAGGAAATTTATTAGTAATCTTTCCATAACTTTCTTTGTGTTATCCATATTTTGCATTGTTTTATATCAATCAACATGAAGTCTTTACCCCAAGTAGTTGAAGCCCTAAGCATTTCTCCTTCCTAGCCAAACTAAATTGCTTTAACATGATTTTGAGGCATTATTAACATTGTATTTCCTGTAACAATAAATTTTTGTTGTAATCCCTTTTATTGACGTCCATTTCTTATCTAATCCACTACGAATACGGTTATAAATCTCTGGTTAATAGTTATGTCTTGAATGAAAGCATGGATCTGATATGACTGCAAAACTGCCCACCAATGTTTTACATGTAGTAAAAGTGTTCCTCCTGTATGTCCAGATTTCTCACATTAGAAGCTATGCTGGCTTATATAATTGTTGTTGGGGAGCCTTTCTTTTCATGATATTTATGTTTTAGTTTGAATCTAATGAACCTAATGCTTGATGCATGTTATCGTTGTTGGACTATCTGAATTTTATTTGGAAACATGGTTGACTGTGTAAGTGGAATTAGTTTTTTGTGAAGATCCTAATGGTTAAGTTCCTATCTTTTAAATACTACTGTTGTATGAAATGTAGGATACGATAACTGGCTTTTTGCTGGCCGGAGTGGGGAATGTTGATCTACGTCGAAAGACAAATTACCTTATTGTGGACTCAAGTACGCCCGTGCTCCTATGGGATATAAGTTTTTTTATGCTCTTGTTAGAATGTTACAATTTGCAATAACTTCTTTGTCTTAGTTTCCTTGCTCCTTTGTATAATTAAACGCTCTTGGAAAGTTTATAACATAGAATACATCTTTCTAGAAATCTTATTCATCTTATTTGCTGCATTTCCAGTTTGTTTGGTATTCGTTTTTGGCTTTTATGGTTTTACATGAGGATAGGGGCTTATTTATGGCTTTAATGCTTCTTGGGAAATAAAATGCATACTTTGAAGCCATATGATTTCAGTTTGTTTAAAGATGGCTAATTTCACCTTTGTGCTGGTTTTAATAAAATGTCTTGTTCTCTGAGTGTCTACAGAAGATACAAATCCATGTGATGGAATGCTAGGTGCCTGGATATCCAGCCGAGTGTATCAAAAAGCGCTAGGCGGTTCCTAGGTGGCCTGGGGGGTCCAGGCCGCCTAGTGCCTAGGAGGCTGCCCAAAACCTGGCGGCTACCCAGTTGAAAAAAAAGTAAAAATCCCAATATACCATATTCCAAGTTGAAAAATACAAGAACAAAAAGATAGAAGTCGAGAAGAGAATTTTGATAATCCATATTGTTAAAACAGTAAACAGTAAAACCATACAAGTGTAGGATATAAAGTCAACACTCAACGCAACAGAAATTTAGAAAATATACAGTCTAACATAAATCAACGCTCATGACTCAACACTCAGCACCAAGATGCAAGAGTCTTCAGTCGTCGTCATCATCATCATCATCATCATCATCATCATCATCATCATCATCAGAAGGAATATCAATAAGCCTCATCATATGCATCAGAGTCAAGACTGTCATCATCAGAGTCATCTCCCTCTTCAATATAATGCTCGTCCTCCTTTGTTTCTTCTAAATCTTCCTCTTCCTACTCCTCTTCTTCTACCTTCCTCTTACTAGTATGTGCAGTCTGTGCAGATGAGGCCCTAGGAGTCTTGGCTGCTCTACCCTTTTATTTGTGCTTCTTGGAACTCAAATATTATATAATTTCCTCTTTGGTAGCCTCAGGAATATTTTTACACGGGGCAATATCCCCCGTAATATCGACAAGGTGTTTTTTAAACCGGTAAATGCCCTCATTAGTATCATTTCCACATTAATTACATTTAATTTGATTTTTATCACTTGGATTCGGGTTATAACCATACTTCCAACCCGGATCACCACTCCGACTAGAAACTGGAGAAGATACTTCCATAGAACAAGGCTTATTTTCATCCTTTTTTTATTCTTCAAAATTCAGAAGATGTCTAATCTCATCTCGAACTGCTTCAGGAACCTTTGTACAAGAAGCAACATTATCTCTAACACCAGCAAGGTGTTTTTTGAATCGGCTAATACCCCCATTGGTATCTTTTTCACAAAAATTACACCTTATACAATTTTTATCATTTGGTTGTGGGTTGTACCCATACTTCCAACCCGGATCACTTTTTTAGGAGTAGCAAAAATAGATCTATGACAAGGATTTTGTTCTTGTTTTTGTTTTCCATAACTTAAAAATTGCTTAATCTCCTCCTTGATAGCTTCAGGAATATTTTTACAAGGGCAACATCCCTCTTAATATCGGCAAGGTGTTTCTTAAACCGGTTTATGCCTCCTTTTGTATCTTTTTCACAAAAATTGCATCTAATGCAATTTTTGTCATTTGGATTCGGATTGTATCCGTATTTCCAACCCGGATCTCCACTCCGACTAACTCTTGAAGAAGACATCTCAAAATAAAACAAGCAATCTAAAAAATGCACTTACTTTGGTAGCTTGAACTCCAAACTTTGAGAAACACTTCGATGATTCAATCCAATGAAATGCAGTTTTTTTGAGGTTTCTGTTACTCTAAAAGTGGTTCTGGTGGGTTTAGGGTTCAAATGAACCTAAAAGCCATCATTCTTAACTTTTATATCTTTGAAAAAAATGAAAACAAAAAAAAAAAAACAAAATTTCCGCCTCTGGGCGGCCGCCTAGGTGGATTCCGTACCGCCTAGGTGGCCGCCCAGGGACCACCGCCCAGTTTGGCTGCCTAGGCCTGGGCGATCCGCCCAGGCCTTTTGGACTGCCTAGGCGCTGGGCAGTTCACTTTTTTGAACAATGATCCAGCCCAGTGGGCTTAAATGTAGGGTGTAGGTAATGCGATTTAGTAGGGCCGCCAAGAGGCTGGGTAGTGAGATTATGCCCCATGTATGCCCAGGTGGACTGCTTGGCCAACCTAACTCCAAGTGCCTCTCTAGGTGGCAATTTTACAACGATGCAAATGCGAGTATCGGCATCTGCGACAGATACGTGCGTAAAAAACATCAATCCAAAATTCAGCATTCAGGCATAACGCATCTATAGTCCATGCATCGTTTAGAGGGGATTGAAAATGAGACTTTTAATTGACATTAAGGCATTCACGGTAAAATTTCAACAAAAGAGTTGAAACAGAAGTTTCAAAGTTTCTAAAGTGTCAGAGTGTAACGTGTACTTTGTGTCTTGATGCATGCCCAGAACCTTGGAGACGCATGTCCAAGTTACATAGCTTGACAGTGTAGGCAAACATTTGGCAGCTTAGGGCCCAAGCACCTGAGTTGTAGTGTTTGAGGAGAGAAACTATCCACATTTTAGTAATGATGCAAGAAACTAACCTTGGGTATGGACAATTTAGTCATTTTCCCCACTTAGGTGAGGAAAGAAAATTTGGATTGAACATCCAATTCAAAGCGGGTTGAAGTATTTACTTTCTGATTTCTCTTTTCTTTATATAGACATGGATTGAGTATTGGAAACATGCGTAGTTCAGAATCCAGTGTTTGAGGAGGAAACTACTTGAGTCAAGTTGACTAGTCAGTTACCAAAAGAGGTTTGAGGGGGGTAGAGTTTTATTGCCTAAACCAAATGATCTTCATGAATTAGTTGCTCTTAATGTTGTTTAAGCTTCAAAGTTTCTTGAGGCAGCTAAAATATTGTAGTGAACACCATATGATAATTGGAAATCTCATACATTAATAATTTCCAATTTGTCAATATCCAATAAATTTTCAAGGCACTTGAGGCTTCATATATATGGTATCTTATACATGAAGTTTCATGCTGGTGGCTGTAAAGGTGTTCTCGCTGGTAACAGATCTGATTAGGTTGTCAAAGTGGCACAATGGATTTATTATGGCTGATTTGTTGTCCAACAATATGGGATTTGCTGCTGACTGGCATGATCTGGTGAAGCTCGTAGTAATAAAAGTCAGGGTTGCATGCTATCAAGGATCGTATGTCAATTAAAACTCATGCCCTATGAACCAAACCGTTGTCAAACATCATTGAATGGTAAATGTATCTTGGCTCACTCAAAACACAATGCCTTTTTATCCAAATAAATCCGTGCTGTTTGGATACCTTATCTTGCTTTACCTACATGAGCTGGATTGCAGGTTTCACAACCCACTCAAACAGTAAGTAGCACCCTAAGTCCTCTTTGTGTCTTGTTCTCTCCTCCCATAGGATATTTCTTGCTTTTGTAAACCTCTTCTAAGAGCTCTAGGGCACGTCCACATTTTTGTAACCTCTTCTAAGAGCTCTAGGACACATGTCCACATTGATGTGTGCAATGTGCAGAGGCTGTAGTCATAGTGCATCCAGGTTTGTTGCCCTCTCACTAAAGAAAGGTTTATTGCTGTCTCACTGTGAAAGTTTGTAACAATTTGTAACACTAGGAAAAGGGGGTAGATCAATGAAGGAAGAAGATTATGAGCAAAGATTACTAACATCTACTCTAAGAGCCATATGTATTCCCAGCTTGTAGAAATGGTTCATGAAGTTTTACCGAGTGCTGTTGCATCATTCTACTATTACTTGGAATTTATACTGCTTATTAGCTCTGTCGGTTAGGCTTCATTCAAATTCATAGTGCTGAGTTTCTCTTTCCTTTATCTGTAATAATTTGTAGGAAGCAAAGATATTACAGAGGCAAAACTATAAAACAAGACCCCACAGTCACGTATTGTTTTTGTTGGCAATTGCTTGGATGATTAAAAACTCATGAGTTTGTTAATCTGGTAAAAAACCTGGAGAGAATTGTAAAAGAAACAATCAAGAATTCCTAGGTCCTGTTTTATGGAGTTTTGCAAACAACTTTCAAGAAACATTGTTTAACAGATAAGGATGTTTTTCCATTTTAATATCTTTCTTCTGGTAGTGGTCCAAAGAAATAAGCTACAAAGTGGCAAGATAAAGAGGATTCCTTAAAAAGGATGGTACAAAAAATAACATTGGACTCCAAAAGAATAGTCACCATTTCTTGCATTCTTTTATTTAAAAAACCCAAGTACCCCTATAACACTTGGAAACTGGCTAGTAATTTGGATTCCCTAGCTGTAAATTTAACTTGCATAACTTGATGAGTCTTACGAAAATTCGCGAACTCCCTTGATTATGCAAGGAGCCTTATGGTTGCAGAAGTAACTTAGCCTTGTGGTGTCTGGTATCACAGTTGGCTTAATTCAATGCCAAACACAAAAATGATTATGATCGACAATATTGAGTGTTTGGAAAATTGTACTCATTTCAATTGGCCAGCCCCATGATTAGATCTGATTGGATTTTAGTTATCATTCTTTGCAGTGAATCTTTCCCCCTTTTGTTATTGCTTCCCTTATAAAATTTTGCATGTATTTCAGAAACTACCGTGAAAGCAATTGAGGATGCATTTAAAGAGTTCACCACAAGCGAAGACATTGCTATTGTATTGATAAGCCAATATGTAAGTATCTTTCGCATAACATGCATTCAGTCTGAGTTATTAGTTTCTTTGGTAATTTAATGTGAATTGGTTCACAGGGAATAATGCTGATTGTGCTCCATTCTTTTGTGGTGGTATAATCTTCAGGGTGCTTTTTGGTCTGTTCTTTGTTTGTGTGTGCACAAGTCCACAGTGGGCCTTGAGCCTCCCATTTCCAGATGGTTACATTCTCTAAACTCTGTCATATCAAGAAGGCAAAAAAGTTTCAAGAAGTTTTGCATCGTCTCAATATCCCTGCTTCAAGTCTCCATTATGAAAACTATACTGTGGTATTTATAAACAAATAAATGAATAGAACATACCATAGCTATCACACGAGGGAAAGGTAGGTGCACTGTCAACATCCTCTGTTGCAGCAGACCCGTCAACTTGTGTATTCTTGTAGTGCATGTGTACATTTTGATTCCTTTGCAACTACAAAATCAGTACACAGCAAATAAATTTTCTCTTAAGCATCCCTGAAAAGTAGATAGCTTTTCTTTTTTTGGGTGAATCAGTGGGGATGATGAGCCCCTACCCGCTTTATTAATAAAGGGAAAGCTATTACAAGTATAATCATTTATGGCCCTTTCGAGGAGAACATTAGCAACAATGTGTAAGAGTAAAGTAGCTAAACAATTTGGGGTCTGAGCACGCCACACCGTTGCTTCTTCCATGGTTTTCGCCCAGGCAGTCAGCAACCATGTTGGCTTCTGAAAATGTGTGAAATCCGCCATTGGTCATCTGCGAATGAGATAAGTTTAGCCTTGCAGTTAGCTGATACTATGCAAATCTTCAAAGGTAGCTTACATCGCTGACTTGAGGACTCAACAAGTAGTTGGGAGTTACTTTCAATGATAAGGGTTCTACAGTTGAGCTCCTTCGCCAGAGAGATGCCTAGGCTCAGGGCATGGAATTTGGCAATATTATTCAAGCTCTAGCCTATGGGGGCTGCAGAAGTTGCAATAAATCCTCCTACGTTGTTTCTGATAATACCCCCACACCAGGATTTTGGATGGAAGATCTGTCTATGTTGAGCTTGAAATGACCTGTAGAAGGAGGTGACCATACCTCTTGGATTAAGGTAGGGGAGCGTTCATGGTGATGCTAATCTCTTAGTGATGGAGAGCCTAATCCTGTGCTTTTGCTAGCGAGCTGATGAAGTGAATAATCCGCTGCAGAAGTTGCTGCCTGGAAGTCCTTTTCCCCTCATGCCAACATAAGTTACGTTCTGTCCACAGACACCAGATAGTAATAGAGGAAAAGGATAACCAAACATTATTCATACCAGTGGATTTAAATCGAAATTTAATCCACTTGGCCGGCATCGCCGTTGTGGATTCCTCAAGAGGTATGGTTTTGCCGAATCTCCAAAGGATAGACCTCCAAAGTACCTGCGAAAAAGAGAACTGCATAAATGATGTGATTAGTCTCCTCCTCCTGGAGGCAAATGGCATGTGAAGGCCAAAGGCAGACCCCTTGATGGGAGCAGGGTAGTCGTAGGCAGACAGGAGTACAGAGCGAGCCAGGTGAACCACTTAGCTCTTGGATGGGAAGGTGTACCAAAGGGCCTTAAAAGCTGGTGCACTGGAGCAAACTGCCTAATTCCTAGGCATCTGTCACAGAGAAGGAACCAGTAGAGGAGTGGATCCAAACCAACTGATCCCTAAGCGGGTGAATGGGTAGCACATGAGGGTGTACCTTCTCTCAAGTGCGAATAAGTGGGTCAGAAGTTGGGGATGGGAGAGACCACCTTTGAGGTGAGCTCTCCAGTTAATCAAACACCTTAAACTTAACGAGATTGCCCAGCACCTTATGTATATCAGAACCATATTTTTCCCATAAAGATCTCCCTGATAACCACAGGTTGGCCCAATAATCTATTAATTTCCCATCACCAACTAACCATATCACATTGTTTTGCAATCTATTAATCATTATTTTCCCTATTAGGCTATGACAATGTGAATGATAAAGGTCCATGAAATAAAGGAAGATCCAGAATCTTGACAAGAAGATCACGAATCCCAAACTGAAGAATATCCTGCACCTTAGCTTTCATACCTGCATTAACCCCAAAGAAAATTGCCTTGCTTTTACTATGGTCAAGCTTCTGGCCAGTTGCTGTACAAAAGTCCTCAATAATATGTCTGATAAATGAAATTGCTTGTATTGAGGACTCACATAAAATAAAGGCATCATCTGCATAAAGAAGTTGGTTAACCCCATAGTTGCATCATGTTAACATTATCAAAAAAAAAAAAACCCCATAGTTGCATTCAGATGGGAAGACAGTAGGAAGAGCGTTTGTTGCAATTGCTGCATTCAACTTCTTGCTAAGATAATCCATTACAATAAATAAATGAATAAATATGAGGATAGTGAATCACCCTGATGTAATCCCCTTTGAAATATCCCACAGGCACGCCGTTATGAAGAATGGAGAAGGATGTGGTGGAGATACAGTGTTGAACCCAAGTTGTAAACATTGCCAAAAATCTCAGTGCATGAAGTTTGTCCAATATAAAGCTTCAAGAAAACTGATCATATGCACTGCTGATGTCCAATTGTAGGTGCATTTTTGGTTTGACTGATGTTTTATGTCCATGTGAATGTTATCAGTGGTCAATCTCCCTTTAATGAATGTTGCTTGACCAAGGATGAATGAGGTCATCAAGTAACTTCCTCAACCTGTTGGCAAACTATCTTACTGATGATTTTATAAAAATAATTGCATAGTCCAATAGGTATGAAATCTTTCACAGTGGTGGGGCAAGTCACTTTAGGGATCAGACAGATAAAGGTGGAATAACCTCCTTCAGAAACTTACCTCTCCTAAAGTAACCCTTAAGAGAATTCAAAAGATCATAGTTGATGACATGCCAACTATATTTATAAAGCTCTACGCCAAGCTCATCAGGGCCCAGCACACATACACATTTCATGTCCAGCATGCATTCACTAATTTCTTCCAGAGAAATTTTCTTGTGTTCAATGTAATGTTCTTGTGAAACGCGTACCCCTAGAAAGAAATCACCAGCTGATGACCCCAATAAAGTACAATCTTGAGCATCAGTGGCCGACAGAGCTGAAAATAAGAACTCATGTGGGTTTCAATGGTTTAGAAATATGATTCCCATTTGAATCCCTTAGATTAAGAATCCTGTCACTCCTCCTCTTGATTATGGTGGACACATGAAAGAATCTTGTGTTTATATCCCCCTCCTTTAGCCAAGTTTCCCTTGATTTCTGTCTCCACAAACTCGCCTCCTGGGCCAGTAGCTATTGTAATTTGGTAGAAAGCTATGCTTCTTCTGGTGAAGCACTTGGGCTATTACTAATCAAGTCACGCAAAACTGATAGCCTTTCCTGATTTTGTTTGACCATAACATCAGCATTGACTGATTTAGTTTTTATTCCACTTGATGATGTCCCCGCGAAGCCTTTTAAGTTTTGAAGCAAACTACATAGGCATATTGATGCAGATCAAAATCTGGTTGCTATAAATTTTATTTTTATTTTTATTAATTTTATTTTTGGAGATGTGGGTAGTTTTTTTTATCATTTATTAAGGTTAATTGTTAGAAATAGAATCTTTAGGTTTAGTTTGATTAAATCCATTTTTTTAGAAGGTTTTTAGAAAATAAGGTCCAATTTCTTTAAGAAAGTTAAACCATATTTTTAATAGGTCTGTAATATTTTTAGTAGGTCTGTCCTTTTTTAGTAAGTATCAGATTGATATATTTTCCATATCTCTTGATGGTTTACCAAGGAAGTCATTATCTCTTGGTGAAGAAGAAAAGAAGTTTAGGATTAACTTGCATAGAAGGTGTTATCTTATTGTAAAGGGAGAAAAACGTAGACCAAAGATATAGTACATCTATTAAAAGAAATGAGATATTTTAGAAGTGAGTTGTTTTAGAAGTAAATGAAAAGAGGGCGTGCATTGTAGAGGAGGTAGTAATTAGCTTTATTAGAGTGGTTTTAGATAAGGAAGAGAGTTTATCTTTTAGAAGGTTTTTGGAATAGAACCCTTCTATAAAAGTGTTACACGTACATTGTAATGGGGAGATTGAATTTTATGAAATAAAGTTTTCTTCGGAGAGAGAGAGATCCCTTTGTGGGTGTTTTTCTCTTGTGTTTATGAGCCCATGTAGGAATTCTCGTATCCGTGTGTTTTGTTCTTTCTTATTGTGATTTCCTTCACGATTTTTATTTCTCTCTCTTAAACGCAGTTAATTTTGATGGTGTTGTTTGCCGGTAAATTTTATACTGCTTCACTTACCTCCAACTCGCTCGTTCCAAGATGGCTTGATAAGATCCAAGAAGTCCGGGATCTCATGCCACATGACAAAATACTTGAGGGCTTTAGGGCCTGAAGGAGGAAGAAAAGAAGTAGATATCAGAATAGGAGAATGATCAGAAGTCCCTTTTAGGCATGAGTTCCACTTTCATCTTCAGCATTGCCATTAGCTATTCAACATTAGCCAATGCCCTGTCAAGGCGCTCGTGGCTACACCGTGGCCCCACACTGCTATTAGACCATGAAAACTACCCTGAAGAGGAGCCCATATCAACCAGAGCACAATTAACTAGCATTTTTGCAAAACTTTCTGCATCGGTGCTGATCTCACTTCTGCCGCCCACCTTCTCAGAACCATGCATCTCCTAGTCCCATAAAAGTTCCCTCTCTGATATGGAGTTTTTACCATAAACACCTATAATAATAAAAGAATCCCCAATACTAGGTCGAAGGACCTCTGTGGTTATAACTTGTTCTTGAACATTAATAATATTAAGAGTATAAATATTTGGATTCCATGCCAGCATGATTCTAGTTTTACCATCCATTTCGTTTACCACATAAGAATTATAGAATCCAATCTTTTGAGACCAATTACTTGCTGATTGTACCCTCATTTGTTTCACGCAAAAAAAAAAACATAATCCAGCATCATGATCTAAGATAAGATTTTTTATAT